TTCAAAAATGAGCTAAGGATCTGAATAAACCTTTCTTCAAAGGAGGCGCTCTTGTTCTTGTGGCACAGTGATTAAAGCATCCTGCTACTAACCAAAAGGTCGGTGGTTTGAACCCTCCAGGGGAGAAAAATGAGGCAGTCCACTTCCGTAAAGATTTACAGCCTTAGGAACTTTAGGTGGAGTTCTGCACTATTCCTACAGGGTTGCTGTTAGTCTGAATTGACTTGATGGAAGTTGGTTTGGTTCTCCAGAGAAGTTATGTTGTTTTGTGCCCTCGAGTTGAACCCGACTCATAGCCACCCCTCCTTAGGTTGCTGAAAAGTATCACTATGGAAGTAGATTGCCCCATCTTCCTTCTGAAGAGTGGCTGGTGGGTTTGAACCGCCAGCCTTCTCGTTAGCAGTCAAGTGCCTTAGGCACTACGCTACCAGAGCTATGTAAGTAGCCAATAAACACTTGAAAAGATACCATCATCATTGTTGTGTTTTGCCGTCAATTGAATCCCGACTCATAGCGACCCGTCCTTGGGTTTCTGAGGTGGTATCACTACAGAAGTAGATTGCCCCACCTTCCTTCTGAGGAGTAGCTGGTGGGTTTGAACCACCAGCCTTCTGGTTAGCAGTCAGATGCCTTAGGCACTATGCCCCCAGAGCTCCTTCATCAATCATTAGGGAAATGCACATCAGAAAAGCAAGTAAGTGTTGGTGAGGATGTAGAGAAATTAGGACCCTTTGCTGAGAACATAAAATGGTGCAGCTGCTACTGAAACAGTTAAACAGAGTGAGAACCCACCCAAAGGTACCGCGGAAGCCTAGCTTGGTGACTACTTCACAGCTGTGAAAACCCTACAGAGTACAATTCTACTATCTGACACATGGGGTGTGAAGAGTTGGAATCAACCTGATGGCCAACAATTATATGGTCCAGCAATCCCACTCCTACCCAAGAGAAAAGGAGAATGTTCACAGCAGCATCATTCATGAGAGCCACAAAGCAGAAACAATCGAGATAATCATCAAGTGATGAACATGGTATATCCACACAATAAATAAAAAAGACATAAAAAGGAATGAAATAAGCATGCTACAACTTGGATGAACTGTGGAACCTTCTGTGAATGAATAAAGCCAGACACAAAACGCCATTTACTTGATTCCTTTTATATGGAATGTATGAACAGACAATTCCAGAGACAGAATGTAGATTAGTGGTTGCCAGGGACTTAGGGGATGTGTTGATGAGAATGACTGCTAACTTTTGGAGTGCTGAAAATTTTATGAAATAAGTTGTACAACTCTGAATATACAAAGAACCACTGAATGCTACACTTAAAAGGTGATCTTATGCTATGTGCATTATACCTTAAAGGCAGTGACAGGTAACACGGAGTAGCTGAAGAAAGCAGCAAACCATCTCTAGGGCTAGAAGAGCAAAGGGAAGAAGTGAGGTTTTGAGAACCTCCAAGGAGTCTCTCAGAGCCAGGACTCAGACCAGTGAGGATGAGGAGTTAGCTAGTTGGTGTTAGTACCTCTTCCCAGAGAAGCTAAGCATGATTCTGGGCATGGCAACATTAAGCAAATAACCAACCAACCAAGATGAAGGGCCATAGCCTGGGACAGAGCCAGCAGGAGCTCTTAGCCGCTTTCCAGTCTCCCTCTCCAGGATCTACTGGCAAAGCTCACAGAGCCAGCTGGCAACACAGAAATGGAGGCTGCAGCACCCTAGTCCCAGCATGCCAAATCCCCAGCATCACAAATGGGTTTGGAGCTGAGAGACAGTAGCCTGAAAGGTCTAATCAGCACATAGGATCGTCCATATAAATGCCAAAGACATTATTTGATAAAATCTAACATCCACTTTCATTTGTAAAAAGCACACCAAAAACTCAGCAAAATAGGAATCAATGGATACTGTCTTCAATGATTGGGGGTGGGGGGCGCACACATAAGTTGGCCCAGAAGTCTTTAGAACTATTCTTGCTAAAGTTAGGAACAATAAGGGTACTCACCATCTCCACTTTAAGTTGATTTAGAATATTAACCAACAAAAAATAAAGGCATAAGAATTTGAAAGGAAAGAGAAAAAACATTTCTATCTGAAGATGATAAAACTTTATATCTACAAAACCCAAAAGAATAGAAAAACAAACAATATAGTAAATTAGCAAGTTATAAAACCAAAGAGGAATCAAAAAACAAAAAGGAGTGTGAAAGGCAAAATGAAAGAGAAGACTTAAATTACAGTAAGAGCAAAAACAAAACCCTAGACAATTTACCAAACTTGACTGCTAACCAGAAGGTTGGTGGTTCAAACCCACCAGCCACTGCTCAGAAGGAAGGTCAGGCAATCTACTTCCGTAGTCATACTGCCTCGGAAACCCAAGGAGGGGTCGCTATGAGTCGGGTCTGACTTGATGGCAAATAACAACATATGCAGAAAGCTGTAAAAAAAATATATATATTCCTGTAGTCTCCAACAAATGGAAACCATAGCATACTGATGGGTAGGAAGACTCAGTGCCACAAGGTGTCATTCTCTCCAGTTTATCAATTTAACATGAAACACTATTAGGTTTTTTCCTAGAGAAAGGTAGAGATTAATTTCCATTTGAAACATTAAACAAGCAACAAGAAAAACCCTAAAAATATAGAACTGTGAAGAGAGTCACTAGCCTTAGCCACATTTGAAACCAACTTACAATGCCTCTAAAAATAAAAGTGGTATATGCATAGACAGACTAATAGAAACAGTTTTAACAATTGTTAAAAGCCCAGAATTGATCAACATGCCTTTGGAAATTTAGTTAATAACGAATGCATTTCCAATCAGTGGGAAAAATGCATAATTTTAAATAAGTGGTGCTGTGACAAATGGAAAGTCATGTGACAAAAGATAAAATTCGATCAATGTGATCACAATGTGCATCAAGATTAATCCCACATCAATCCAAGATTTAAACATAGAAAATTAAACCATACAAGTCTCAAAACACACTGTAAGTAAATTCCTTTATAACCTAGGGATGGGGAGAACATTTCTAACCATGCCTTAAAATCCAGAAGAAATAAAGAGAAAATTGGTAAGTTTGACTACACACACAAGTTTGCATTGCAATAAACCATTTTTATAAACCAGAAGTATCTCTCTCTTCTAAAATTATGAGGAAAACCTAATAGAAAAATTGGCACAAAATAACAGTTATCATCAGCTCAGTGAAAAAGAAAAACAAATATTCTCTCCCCCTTATTATAAAATCACCTGATATGTCAACTTCTCATAAAACTAAGAGTGACGCGTACTCTGGGGTAAAGCTGTAGGGAAACACACTCTCAAAAATGTTGCTAGTAAGAATGTTAAGTGGTAGAATTCTAGTGGAACATAATTTGGCAGCTTCTAGCAAAATTCTGTACATTTAAACGCAGCGATCCTAAATTCTGCAATCTCCCAAAAATACAAGTGACACGTACACAAGACTCTTCATTGCAGCATTACTTGTAAAAGCCAAAGATTAATAACAGGCTGAATCTCCTTCCATACAGTGGAAGGATTAAAAAGCACACAGTACGTATAGTATGCTACCTTTTATGTAAGAAAGACTGTGTGTGTGTGTGTGTGTGTGTATATATATATATATATATATATGTTGTGGGTGCACGTATTTGCTTTATTTTCAAAAAGAAGTGGAAGGATAAACAAAAACTAAATAAATGGCTAACCGTATGGGAAGTAGGTTGTAGAGAGAGAGAGTAGATTCCTCTGAAAGTATCCTGTTCGTAGTTTTTACTTTGAAACCATGTAAATACTTTAAACCACAAAGATTAACCAATCCCTAAAATTTGGGGGAATAAAAAAGGGAAGCAAATGATTTGCGTACTCTGTATTTCAATCAAGTACCTCTAATGGATCAATGGTGATGACAGCAGTCACCACAAAGATAATGTTTTCAGTGAGTGGTCTTACTTTAAGTATTATATTGGCATTGTCATTATGAAAGTTACATTCATTTTAAGCAAATACATTAATGGTAATATAATTAGGAACAAAGTTCAGCTTAAAAAAAAGATCTGTTGTTGTTATATGCCGTGGAATCGGACCTGACTCATAGTGACCCCTCCTTGGGTTTCTGAGGCAGTATCACTACGGAAGCAGATTGCCTCATCTTCCTTCTGAGGCATGGCTGGTGGGTTTGAACCGCCAGCCTTCTGGTCAGCAGTCAAGTGCCTTAGGCAGTATGCTACCAGAGCTCCTACACACATAGAATGAAGGTTAAGCATAAATTCCAAACTAGACAAAGAATTGTCCAAGGACATGGTATTAAAAATACAGGTCATAGCAGTGATGGTTGTACATGTTCTGTTTTGTGTTTTATTTATATATGTATATAAATTATCTTGATCCTTCCCCTACCCCCAAAATTATAAAGACCTTTACTATAAAGTCCTAACTTGGGCAAAATTCTGTAATCCCTGGTTAGCTAAGTTTTGCTAAGTGATTCCTAAGGCTTTTTTCCTCTCTGATAGCTATTACTGGAACAAGTTATTGTCAGTATGACTCTACACAGCTCTTTTCCTTTCTTCCCTTCTTCTATATAGCTTTACAGGGCACAACCCAATCTTAATGATCTTAAACGGCAGAATTTCAGGTATTGTGGGATGCTTTGGGAATACTCATGCAAGACAAAGTGGTACAGTGGTTAAATGCTTGGTTACTAACCTTAAGATCAGCAGTTCAAACTCAAGAGTTGCTTTGCAAGAGAGATGAAGGAGTCTCCTTCCATAAAGATTCCAGCCTTGGAAACCCTACGGGGCAGTGTTAACCTTGTCCTATAGCGTCACTATGAGTCAGAATTGACTTGATGGCAGTGTTTTTTTTTTTTTTTTTTTTAATACAAGAGTACCACTTAAAGTACAGGCTTTGTCAGTGAAGTTTATTATACTCATTTTAGTAATCCTAACTTCCCTTTCCTACATCTCATGATTTGTGTATGTGGCTCTTTTTAGATGGCTATTCCTATGAAAAGGAAGCAATGGAAAACTGGATTGGGAAGAAGAAACGTACAAGCCCCATGACAAATCTTATTCTTCCGTCAGTGGTGCTTACACCAAATAGGACTCTGAAAATGGCCATCAACCGATGGCTAGAGACACATCAAAAATAAAATTGTTTATAGTGTTGATATTGTTCCATGACCTCATCTGAACAATTTAAAGGTAAATATTAGAAAAGCAAAATAAGGAAAAAGGTAATCTTAAATTTAGTTAATAAAAACTTACCAATTTTCATTCTTTAAAAACCTATGGACTAAAGTCCACATTTAACTTCATTTGTATTTTCATAATAAAAGCCTTTTTGTATTAGTGAAAATAATTCTTAAGCTGTATAGAAATAAAGTTTGACTTTAAATTTCAATGCCCAAGTTCATTCTCCTTAGATATGTCATATCCCATTATAACCAAAGACTGTAATTCTCTTAGGATGTAACAGAAATTTAAACCCCTAGTTACCAAATGAATGCCTTGTTACCTTTTTGGAACCCTGCCAAAGATAATCTAATTTATAGCAAATTAAGTTGTTTTATTGGATTATAAATTTACATGGTGGTTGTGTCCCCTCCTCCCCCCATCTAAGCCTAGGTACACATTAGATGGAATAAATGATCATGCATAAATAAGTCAGGTTGACTTCGTGGAAATGTATAAAGTGGCAAATTATCCTTCTTTTAGAAGTCTTACAGTTCTTACATGTTATCCAAAGCTAGAAACTTTACAAAGGCATTTATATAGAGCAGTCTAACACAACACCCTGACAAGCGTTCACTTGGAAGAGAACTTCAAGAAACTGAGGTGGTACTAACATACTCTCCATAATTTAATTACTGGAGTAGACACTAACAGTGTTAGAACTAAAGGACAGGAAGGGATCAAGACTCCCTGGGCCACCATGGTCTAATACAGCCCCCAGCACAGAATGGATGCTCACACAACTTTTGAATACATATCACTTGTTGTTGTTATGTGCTGTTGAGTCAGATCCGACTCATAGCAACCCCTCCTTGGGCTGCCGAGGCAGTATCACTACGGAAGTAGATTGCCCAACCTTCCTTCTGAGGAGTGGCTGGTGGGTTTGAACCACCAGCCTTCTGGGTAGCAGTCAAGTGCCTTAGGCACTACACTACCACAGTTCCCACGTATCACTTAGTAAACCCAAATTTATTTACAGGGAGTAAATACTTCCCTGTAGTTACCTTCCTCAGAAATAAAAGGGAAATATAAATATATTAGTCACACTTTTCCTATATTTTATAAACTCAGAACAGAAAGGTAGAAAGTGGAGCTAGCATAGAAATCTAGATACCTTTTGTTTATAATTGCTGTTCTGTAAAATTTCTGTCAGTGAGAATTTGTTACTGAAGTTAATTTGCTTTATGTCAAAGCTAACATTCCCAGTCTGTGATTCTACACAGAAATTCTTCAGATCACACATTTCTCATTCTTAGGAGGACAAAAAAAGTTAAAAATCACTGTTTTAGAAAGTATTTTTCTATTGTGTTCCACAGAGAAAGAATGCTTAGCATTCTTAAAAGATTTTTTAAATTTATAAAGTCCATTTGGTCTGTTTTATCAAAATCATAATTTAGTGCACAATAAATTCTAACAATCATGCTGGCTTCATCTGAGGAAATGACATTCAGTGGCAAGACGTATTAGCCACCAACACTTTCTCCCTTCCTGTTTTGTTGTTGTTTTAGAAGAGGATTGAAAATACTTTACTTAGCTTTGCTAGTAATAGCAGTAACCAGACAAATAACCTGAAGTAGTATCAGGGAATGCTGAACATCATTATCATAATCATCATCCGGGAAAAGCAGCCCTGGGGGTACAGTGAGTTAGGTGCTCAGCTGCTAACCAAAAAGTCAGCAGTTCAAACCCACCAGCCACCACACAGGAGAAAGACGTGGCAGTCTGCTTCTGAAAGGTAACTTACCCAAAGATAAGCATTGGAAACCCTGTGGGGAAGTTCTGCCCTCCTGTAGGGTTGCTAAGAGTTGGAACTGACTGAATGGCAATGGGTTTGGGTTTGTTTTGATACTACCAGGGAATACTTTGGCCTAGGATTCTAAGTCAGAATTCTTTCACAATACAACATAGTTTAATAGTCATTCTCAATCATAAAAAGACATAAAGCAAACCTGCTGCTGTCAAGATAATTCTGATTTGGGACGATGCCATGTGTTTCAGAGTAGAACTGCTCCATAGGGGTTGCCTGACTGTAATCTTTGTGGAAGCAGATAGCCAGGCCCATGGTGCTGCTTGGTGGGTTTGAACTTTAGGTTAACAGTCAAGCACAGTTCTTTGAAATATGTGAGTATAAAGACAAATACATACTTTCACCCGAAAAATAATATAAATGAGCTAAAGAATAACCTGCCGTATTAACACAGAGTTCAGTATATTGCCAAAGTGAGAGTTGCAAAAACACATGCCAGACTTTCTTGAGACAGGTAAGAAAAAAAAGTATAGACTGCTTTTCTTCATAAAAAACCTGTTTCAGGGTAAAAAGACTAATTCTAACTAATTCTAACTAGACCTTCACTATTTTGGAATTTCTAGACATTGTCACCCTGTTCTGAAATTATTATATAAATAAAATGAAATATGCTTCTGGTAACATCACTGTAAAAATACACATTTCCATATTTTCTTTAGGGTAACAGGATCACCCAAAATTTAAGCAAAGGAGATAGTTGTATGATGCTGTTCTCTACCCATTGTTTCATTTAATGCAAAACAAATTCTATTAATTGTCTTTATTCCATATGGAGAAGTACAGTAGTTGTGCAGAAACAAAACTACATAACAAAAGAGTAAGACTTTCACAAAAACTAAACAATAAATAAGCCATAGTAGTTTATATGTAGAACTCATGAAAAGCTTATAAAAAATGGTAAAGCTATTTGTACAAAGTATACTGTACACACGCAGAAACACATGTTGAAGAATGATACCAGAAGACTCCAACTCGTACAAAACACTAACAATGCTCCCAGGATCTCTGTTACAGCTATTCATTTTTAAAACATTCTGTAAATATAGAACTTCTTTCTCCCCAGTACTAGAAAATAAATCTCACATCCCAACATATAAAACAAGTACACTCCCATCTCTCTCAAACTAGCATCTTAACATTCTCCAATAACACCATTTTCATACAAAAATACCTTTAAACCAAAGTTCATTCCTGTACCTTATCTTTACAAATGAGTAATACATCTGTTTGGACTTACGTAGCACCTCAGAGGTGTTCATATAAATGTGATAAAGTGCTGTTACTGGTATACTGTTAACATGCCATAACAATACATCATTCAGTGCAATAACCAGCATGGACGAAAATTACCAACAATTACCAACAACATGCAAATATATGACTGGACTTTTTTCTTTTTTAAGATTTAACTACTTTGAGACAGTTATATTTACAAGTCTGAATAAAACTTGGTTATTTAATATGTACAACATGTGACTATAAAGTAATGAGATTATGTAACAAAAGTAACAACTAGCTATACCTTAAGTATCCAGATTCTTAAGAGACCTTGGAAGGCTTGTTCCAAGAGTGTTACCATTGTGAGAAGCAGTTTTGGAACCAGTTGAGAGCTAACTTACTAGTGCCACTGATAACTGCTGGTCTTAGGATCCTGGCCCAAATCCAACTTGAACCACCTATCTTGATTCCAAATGTCTTATGCTGTTTTCAAATGTCAAAAACACTTTGAAGGGTGAATGTACTTCCAAAAAGGTGCTAAGAACATATCTTGAATAAGAACAATACTGAAATCAGTGTTTAATCCCTTTGGGAGAACTGCTTTGAAGGGAATATTTGAGTGTTCTCATATTTTGCTTTAAAAAGAAAAAAATGAGCTTTATTACTTTTATACTCACACTTATATTCAGCTAGAAATCAGGTCTTAATTAAAATACAGACATATTTATATTTAATTGGGGTTCTGACCCAGTGGAACTGTGACCTGAAAATTTCACCCTTTCTAGAACCCATCATCTTGGTGCTGTGAGTTAAGCCTATTATTCTTTAGCAATAGACATTTGTATACTCTAATCGGAATTCACCACACATTAGCAAAGCTAAGAGAATGATAAAAACCAAATAGCTTTATAAGAGAAAAGCATGAGTTAATGCTTTCTTGGCTATCTTCTTTTTTAACTTGATAAGCACATCTAATTGTACTAAACACCCATCTTTTTGATTCTGGGTAACATTCTTATTTATGATGACATGTAGGTTATTTATTAAAGATATTTTCAATGTAGCAATGGTATCAGACCTACCCCAGAACAAAAACAAAAAAGGCTAAGTATGAATTTTCCTGATAAAAAGCAATTTAATTATTATTTACCACCAGGAGCCAATACACTGTTTTCCAAGTTTTGTAAATGGGTTTCTCCGAAGGCTCACACATTTGATTCTATGAATGATCGCTTTGGTTTCGCGGCAGCAAGGTGACTCCTGTGGGCTTCACTGCTGATATGAGGTTGCTGTTTAGAGAGACTTTCCTGATACAGGTGAGAAACAGTCTTAGTTACCCTGCTATCTTGACAGTGGACCGGAATTTGGCACTTCTTTTCTTCTAGTTCCTTTACTTGTGCCCCATTGTGGACACTCCCACCCACAGTAGAAACAGAACAGGTTTTGGCTTGATTATTATAACCCCCTACTTGTTTGAGGGAAGGCTTCTCAGAGTTTGAGGACTGCAGGCCAGCTGCAGATGATGTGTTTGCCAGTAGCCCCTCTGCCACCTGACAGTGCCAGGTGCGGCTGGGAGGATTGCTCTGCTGTTGGAACCTTGCAGTCTTATCCATGATGCCCATGAAAGGAGTATTCCGTGGTCTGTGCTCACCTGCACCACTCTGAACCTGGCTAACAATTTTGTCTTTAATTCGAGCATCTGGTCCTTGGACCTTGAAGCCATCTGAAAAGCTGCTGCTTGAAGTCAAACTACTGGTTGAACTTGACATTTTTATGCTGCTCGATGAAGAACCAGAAGAGCCTGAGCTGGCAAGGGAAGCTGGGTGTCGCATGTCACTGCAGCTCATAGGCCCACCTTGGTTTGGAGGGGCTACATCTCCAGCCATGGAGGGATGAGACAGAAGCCTCTCTGCAGTTTTTATCTTGCTTGGCAAAGGGCATGCAGTGCCACTGTCACAGCGCTGCAGCTGGACATTTTGGCCAGGACCTAGCCGATCCCCAAAAGGGCCAGGACTGGCTCCCACAGTGAAAGTACTTGTCCCCTCTAAATGCTGGTTTCTGTTACCAGCAGGAGTTAGAGGGATTCTAGCTGGCATGGGACTTGGGGGAGGATTCTGAGAAGACACCTGAATCTTTGTGCTACCATTTTTCATGCCAGACTGTCCAGAACCCAGATGCTGGTTGGTTTTCACTATCTGTGCCTGCTTGGTGGGCTGCATAAACCCAGGCTGAGCTACCGGCTCCCGCAGGGGCTTGCTGATGACTGCTGGCCTGTTCTGTGGTGATGCGGGCCTTACTTTGGACTGGAGGCCTTCCTGAAGGGTTCGGATATACGGGGAGAGGGCAGATGAGGATGGCTGAGGCTTTGGAGTCAGGGAAGGGGATTCTTCCTGGGGAGAGGTTTCTTCCTCTTTGGCCTCTTCAGGATGAAAGTGGTCATGTAAACCTGGGGCTGAGGCATCCTCTTCGTTGTCTGAATCATTGGGTGGGGCTGGGGGAGGGCCCTGCTGCTTCAGCTGCTGGCTCCTCTGGAGCTGTGTGCACTCCTCTTCCACGCGGGCCAGCAGCCTCCTGATTTCCTGATTGGTGGGACAGAGTTTCACAGCTTCCCGCAAGTCAGCCAGAGCTGCCCCAAACTGCCTTTATATTAAAAACAGAGAGTAATTACAAGCCAGGTATGAGCATGCTCTGATTGTAACTGTTCATAAAATAACTAAAAACAGGAAGGAGAAGACAGCTGAGAGTTAGGAACACTTCTTGTACAGCCAGGACCCATATAACTAGCCTAGAGTCACTCGAGTAAGTGGCAATGCTTAATTCTCACCTACATCTGACCCAGTCAGATCTGATCACCCCTGCTCCTTCTACAAAGACCACTGGGTTCTTTACAGGCATCTGTCACTGGGCCTCAGAACCCTCTCCCGTATATATCATCCCCTCCCTCACTGTGCTCACTCTCTAGCTCAAAATTCTTATACAACTGTTCTCCTCCTCACCCCCTACACCTCCTCTTAATATTTCCACTTGGCAGTTTCACTGATAATACAGATTAACACAAGCACCTTATGTTGCAGTAAGTCTCAGGTGGGGAAGAGAATAGTTAACAAGTACCTGCTATTTCTCTTTGCTCTTGCCCTGGCATAAAAGGCTTCATAGGACTTGGGTTTCAATTCCAGAGCCTTGGAAGCAAATTCTTCTGCCATGCCAAAGTCCTGGTGTCAATATTTAAATACATAAGTTAAAAGAAGTACTGATACATGAATTTAGGTGGCTTTTTAATAGCCAATTGTTCAAAGGGTAGCAGACACTTGGGATGTAGCTGGAGAGGGATGAAGGGGCAGATTCTGACTTTTGGGATTTTGGGTTTGCTTATTTTCTTTTAAAGTTAAGAGATAATTACAGCTCATTAAGATTAAGAGAAAGATCACCAGGAAAAATGGATGGTTCTGGAGAGAAAGGAGAGCAGTGACAACAGCACTGCACCGGAAGCAAGAGGGCATGGCATCCGGCACACATGGAGGCAGCTTCTCTCACTGTAACAGGAAGGCAGGCAGAACACGTGGGTACCACGCTGGCAAGATCAATGGACTTGGTGGTAGGATGATGATGTAGGAGGAGGAAGAGGAAGAGAAAGAGGGGAAAAGAAGAAGGGGAGGAGGGTTAAGGAAGGAAGAAGAGGGTAAGGAGAGAAAGAGGGAGAGAGAGACTGGAAGAAAGAGGGGAAGGAGAGACAAAGTGGGTACAAGGAAGGAAGGAATACAAAAACAAATCTCCAGTAACTAGTTACCAGCATACCCTCTGAACAAACAGCATAAACACTATGCAGATTCTAACAGATATCTGTATGGAACGTTACGATGCCCTTTCCTTCTGAATTTGAGGATGGTCAACTAACTCATGACAATGCTAGAAATAAACAATTGGGAAGGGGTAGAGGAAGAGTTTGCACTGGCTTCTCATCATTGAGGCAGAGGAAACTATACCCAAGGGCATTCCTTCAATATCGTGAGAGATGGGTAGTGACAGATCAAATGATGATCACCCCAGAGAAGCAGCTTCCCCTAGCCACATTCATACAAATGGGCAAACAGTTCAGGTAAGAGGCCACATGATTTGGTCACTGGTAGGGCTGGCATTCACCACCAGGAAAGCACTCTCTTGCTGAAGGACTGGAATGGAAAGATGGTGCACTGCTTACATTTGTTTTTCTTCGGCAGCGAGACAAATTGAGATAGAGAGAGACTCTTAATTCATTGAATGGCCTCATGTCCTCTCCGAATCCTTCTCGAGGAAACTTCCTTAAGGCATACTGGTACCTCTGGGCTGCTTCTTTCATCTTCCCTTTCTAGGATACAAAATCACAGAAACATAACTCTTTTTTCAGAGGCTCAAAAATGAATTAGGCCCCATTCCCTGAGGACCCTGGGAGTTACTCTCACACACAAAGCCATTACAGCATACTGCAAATATCCAAATAACTAAGTGCCAACCTAGGAACTAGTACCCACACCAGTTGAACATAACATCAGTTTCACTGTCCTCACATGTATCTACAACGTGTTCTCACAGACAATAACAAGTGAGGTGGTTTACAACAAGGTGTTTTTGTAAATTGCCAAATTGAAAACTATCAATCTTAATGCATCAATTTATCTTCTCTAGTTACATATTTTTGAAAATTACTTCATGAATGATCTCTCATCTAAAGGCAATTTAAAGATAAGTGTAACAAAAATCAGATTAAAAAAATGATGCAGTTCCTAAGGCAAGTAAAAAGTCTTGTGGATAAACCTGAGCTTGCAATAGAACAGCAATTTTTCTTTAAAAGGAACTAAAGCACTGGTTTTAAAAATCAGAACAGCACCACACATCATTTTCAAGGCTAAAGAAATCTATTTGCTCAGTCAGTTCTATCGCACAGCAGGAACGAAGCCTGTTGAAAATGGCCTGGTATGTCTGACATAATTGCCTACCAGAATTCATATTAAAACCACTTCAAAGACAAAACAACACACATTCTGAAGTCAATTTCAAATCGATTCCAAGCCAGGAACCCTGCTGGGTCAAGTTATATATTTATGCCTATGTATTTGTTATTTTTTTTTTTTTAAAAAAAGGTACACACTTAAAACAGAGCACCTCCAGCAGCATCACAGAGATTAAAATGGTCATAATTTAGTTTTGGGGTTCCTTCCTCCATAATCCAGTTTTAATTCTGTCTAACCACTGACCCTCAATCTATATGCTGAGCAAATAATCCGAGAAGCTGGACTATATGAAGAAAAACGTGGTATCAGGATTGGAGGAAGAATCATTAACAACCTGAGATATGCAGACGATACAACTTTGCTTGCTGAAAGTGAGGATGACTTAAGGCACCTACTGATGAAGGTTGAAGAATACAGTCTGCAGTATGGATTACATCTCAACATAAAGAAAACAAAAATCCTCACAACTGGACCAATGAGCAGCATCACAATAAATGAGAGAAGATTGAGGTTGTCAAAGAATTCACGTTGCTTGGTTCTACAATCGATGCCAACGGAAGCAGCAGTCAGGACATTAGACGACGTGTAGCATTGGGAAAGTCAACTGCAAAGGAACTGTTTCAAGTGCTGAGGAGCAAGGATATCTCATTGAGGACTAAGGTGCGCCTGACACAAGCCATGATATTTCCAATCGCCTGGTATGCATGTGAGAGCTGGACAATAAATAAGGAAGACCAAAGAAGAGTTGATGCTTTTGAGTTGTGGTGCTGGCGGAGAATGCTGAAAGTACCATGGACTGCTAAAAGAACTAACAGATCTGTCCTGGGGGAAGTGCAGCCAGAATGCTCCTTGGAAGCAAGAATGGCCAGACTTCGTCTCACCTATTTTGGTCATGTTGTAAGAAGGGACCATTCCCTGGAGAAGGATGTCATGCTTGGTAGGGTGGAGGGTCTACGAAAGAGGGGGAGGCCTTCAACGAGATGGATTGATATGGTGGCTGCGATGATGGGATCAAGTATAGCAGGGATTGTGGGGCTGGCGCGGGATCAGGCAGTGTTTTGTTCTGCTGTGCATGGGGTCGCTATGAGTTGGAAACGACTCGACGGCACTTAACAACAACAACAACAACCACTGACCCAGAAGAATGGCAATCATGTATCTATGCAGCATCTATCTCAATCAGGGGTTGGCAGTCTGACCCACAGGCTGAATCTGGCCCCTTGCATGTGTTACAATACAGTCTAACTGGAACACAGACACAGCCATCCCTTCATGAGCCATGGCCGCTGCCATGCCACAACGGCGGGGCTGAGTACTTGGGACAGAGACTGTGTGGCCTAACATATTTACCATCTGGTCATCCACAGAAAAAACGTGCGGACCTCTGAACTAATTAATATCTCACTTTAGAATGTTTAAACTCCATTTTATTTATCTGTAAATCATACTTCCATTTCCCCAAGAAAATGACAAAAACCAGAACTAGCCCAGGCTCCTGAATAACTACCATTATTTTACTTGACTGGCTAATTGAACCCATCTCCAGAAATTCGAGAAATGTAAAGATCCTGAAAATAAGATCATAAAGATTTGAGATAATGTTTTTTTTCCCTCCTTCTGGAAATTTCTCCTGGGTGTTCTCTTTCCCAAGTGTCTTCATCACCACGTGCCACAAAGCTGTACTTTGAATGTTGTCAGAGGGAGTATGAAAGGCTAAGAATCTGTATGGGGCTCCAGTGAAACTAGGGGCAACTTTGCCTTGAGCACTCAGCTTCATGCAGTAGGTTATAGTTACAGGCTCAATGACTATCTCAGAGATAATGTCCTCAAATGAAGAGAAGTCCCTTTTACCTTTAAGATTTTACCTTTAAGATAGTAAACAAACGACTTCCGGTAAGATGGAGGAATAGGCAGACAAGGGACACAGACCCTCTTCAACAAAGAAAAGAAAAACCAATTGACAGAGATCTAGAAGATAATCCTGGAGCCCTGAGCTTTGAAACTAACTATGCATAAGTGGGTTAGGCACCAACTAGTGGAAAAACCTGAATGAAAACAGTGAGTACAGAGATGGCTGGAGCTGCAGGCTGTCAGCTACTCTGATGGGACAATAGTCTGATTATTTCCAAGTGGTGCTGGGACCTAAGAATTGACCTAAAGATCAGCCCTGGTCATCAAAGGGACGACTGCACTGGTGCCCTATGACTAGGAAGGGAAACAGCAAGGAGGGCAACAACCTGAGTTGTAGACTTTCCACTGTCTAGAGAGTGCAGCCATTTTGATTGTTTACACGTGACAGTCATTTTGGATATTTAAAGTGACCGAGGGCAGCCATTTTGGATATTGAAAGTGATCAAGTGGGCAACGAATTTGAATGTTTACAAGTGGTGGCCATTTTGGATATATAAAGTGATTGAGGGCGTGGCCATTTTCAATCTTGAGAAGTGGCAACCATTTTGGATTTTAAAGTGATAGCATTCTCATTTGGATTCCAGGGACCTAAGAATAGGTTCTGTTTACCAAGGTCGGCAGGGACATACAAGAGGCTGACAACAGGAAAGGACAGAGGTAGTGAGTGTATAAGTGCTGTCAACTAGCAAACAGAGGAGCACAGTACCTTGCTTGTGTAAATAACACACAAACAAAACAAAGAAAAGGAAAATATGGGCAAGTCACTCCAACATGTTGTTGTTGTTGTTATGTGCCGTTGTCGGACCCGACTCATAGTGACCCCTCCTTGGGTTTCCAAGGCAGTATCACTACGGAAGTAGATTGCCCCATCTTCCTTCTGAGGAGTGGCTGGTAGGTTTGAACCGCCAGCCTTCTGGTTAGCAGTCAAGTGCCTAAATACAAACACAAAAACATCACAATGCCTCAGAAACAACAGAGCATACAATCTACACAAGATGCAAGATACAGCAGGAGAAACAAGGGACCAGGATACAGACCCAAAATACATTCCTGAGGAAGACGTAGCATTGGAACTCCCTGATAAGAAACTCAAAAGAACTATATTTGGGTAGCTTCAACGAATTGAGAGATCAAGGAAAACACAGAGAGAATCCTAGAACAATTTTTGAAAGACAATACAAGAACAAAATGACAAAATAAATGAAAAATTAGAAATGATACCAAATCTACATACAGAAATCCAGAAGATTAATACTAAATTTTCAGAAATAGGTAGGACATTGAATGGCAAAGGAGCAGAACTGAATCAATGGGAAGACAGAATTAGGGAGATTGAAGGCAAATACCTGAAACACTTCTTTGGAAAGGAATAAATCACAAAAAAGATCAAAACAAAACAAAGAAAGCCTAAGGTTCATGTGGGATACCATCAAAAAGAATAACCTATGTGTAATAGGAATTCCAGAACAGCAAGAGATGAATGAAACCACAGAGAAAATTGTTGAAGATTTGTTGGAAGAGAATTTTCCTGGTATGATGAAAAACGAGACTATATTCATTCAGGGTTCAACGAACCCCAAACAGGAGAGACCCCCAAAAGAAAATCACCCAGACGTATCATCAAACTCACCAAAACCAAAGACAAAGAAAGTATCATGAGAGCAGCACGGGAAAAACGAAAAGTTGTCTACAAGGGGCAAACAATAAGACTAAGCTTGGATTTCTCAGCAGAAACCATGCAGGCGAAAAGACAATATACAAAACACTGGAAGCGAAAAATTTCCAACCAAGAATTATGTACCCAGCAAAACTGTCCCTCAAATATGATGGTGAAATTAGGACATTTCCAGATAAGCAGAAATTAAGGGAGTTTGTTAAAACCAGACCAACCTTACAAGAGATGCTAAAGGGAGTCCTTTGGACAGAGAAGCAACAATAACAAACAACAACTGACCATTAACACACATGATGACATAACCCGAAAACCAACCCAACCATGGAAATATCTGAAGGAAATAAGCCTACAAGATTGTAAACAGGGAACTAGAGATATCAATAGACAAATGAGGACAACTACAAACCGAAAAGAGGGAAAAAACTGTGTCGTTATAGAACTTCTAGATGGTAGGGAAGTCAAGACAACTACAAGATAGAACGGACTGTTCTAAACTTGCAAAGAAAACTATAAATCACAGGGTAAACCTCGGGAGCTCTGATAGCATAGTGGCTAAG